AGCCCTTTTTTCATTTTTTACTTTCTTTCCCCCCTTAAACAATAAGATAGGTTTAAACTCTATTCCAAACCTTAATTTTAAACCTAAGAACCTCTTAAGACAATGTGTTTCTAGATTTCCTAAAGATAAAGACAAAAAGACATTCTTTCAAAGTGTTCTAATGTGAGCAGTTTAACACAAATTCTATTTCATTCTATTACTTATATTCTTTGTTTTCTCCAAGATGTAAACAGTCGCTGAGTCTCTCAAACCGTTTTTTTCCACTGAGAATTGTAGAGCTTCACATGTATTGTTTTCTTTCATGCAGTTATTTGCAAGATGGCCATGGAAGATACTGAACATGAGTCARTTTTCTAACAGCATGGAGGCTGATGTTATTGGCTCAGTAGCACATTTACCACTCAGGGAGGAACAGGGGGAAAGGCTCTAAGTTACAGTTTACAGATATGAAACTATTACCAAGGAGACTGGCTTCTTAGGCAGCTGTGCTGCCACCAGGACAGAGTGCAAGATCAGTGTCTAGTCTATGGTTTGGGACTACAGGAATCAAATCTTATTGAGATTTCCATAGATCAACTAACATAGTAGCTCGTTTATTGCTCTTCAAGAACTATAGCTGTACGAGGGGCTGAGTAACTTTTAGTAGCTTGGGCCTTCTCCACATGAATGGGAACACCCCTGAGTGAGTGTGCAGGCTGCAAAGGGAGGAAGAGGTTTTACTTGGTAAGACATCTTGAGCCCATAACCACAAATACCTCTCTGATCTTTGGAAGTGTCAGGTTCTCTATATCCAGGTCTTTTATCCCCTTCACAGTCCTAGAGGAGCACCAACAACTTCTACCCAACTTCTCTCTTCAGTGTTGCATGACCATTAAGCTGTGTATAGCATTCAGGCTGTATCGTTCTGGCCTCGGACATTTTGCCTCTAAGGTTTACCTACCTATTGCCACTTACACTTTTTTTTTTTTTAACTAATTTGATAAATGGGAGGTACTGAAAGGAAGTTTGATATTTTCTAAAATAATGAACCTGTTTGGTACCTTTTATAACTAGTAGTTTTCAGAATAGACTTTATCAGGGATGAAGATATAGCAGCTTAGTGGTAGAGCACTTGCCTAGCATGCAGGAAGCCCTGGGCCCAGTTCCTAGCATTGCAAAAAAAGGAGAGGATGCAGTTTAAAGTCAACCAAAAGTGTCAGTGTACCTGAGGTTTTTTGTTTTTGTTTTGGGTGTTACTGGCACTTCATGCAGGCTAGGCAAATGTTCTACCACTAAACTATACTCCTAGCATACCTGAGTCTCTCCATAGAACATTGGGCCTCATATTTGTCCACCTAATGGTATAGAGGAATATAATGTGTCCAYAGCATTATTCATCTACTGGTATAGGTGGAAAAATAGAAAAGTTGAATAATCAACAGACTTAACAAAACATTACCAGTTACTTCAAGTCTGCCTCCCCTCAATTCTTGTTCTTCCTAATGTCTTTTTCTTGTGGGGGGGAGGGGTGTGGAGGTTACAGGGAATTGAACTCAGAGGCACTCAACCACTGAGCCACATCCCAGCCTTATTTTTTGTGTTTTATTTAGAGAGAGTATCTCACTGAGTTGCCTTGTACCTTGCTTTTGCTGAGGCTGGCTTTGAGCTCGCCATCTTCCTGCCTGAGCCTGCTGAGCTGCTGGGATTACAGGTGTTCACCACCACACCCAACTCCTGGTGTCTTTGATTTAAAATGGGTCTTCCAATCACAGCTACTGCTGTTCTTTTCCATAGGTTTGCATCTCATAAGCACCCTGTATACAGTTACCTGCAGACACCCRAGAGGTGTGCAGTAAACAAATGAAGGTGCCTGGGGGAGCTGATAGCCTCAACTGCTTTGAATACTTGCTTCTTGGGAGAGTTGGAGGCAATTTTTTAGAGCATTAATTGGGAAGGTCATTCTATTTAAGCAGTACAACCTAGGTGGGGCAGTTTATTGGATTGTATGGACATATGGAAAATGTAAATGRTCTGCTTTATATTAACAACCAGTGAATAAGAAGAAATGCACATTTGTTTCTGGTCTTTGTTTGTGGTTCCTGGCACAGAGCTCCAAAAACTTGTGATTTCCTGAGTAATGGATGATAAGGACATCTTTTGTTACAATATTTTATCATGGTGCTCAGCTTCTGACATAAGAGCTTCATTCTAAGATCCTTGCACTCTCCAAAGCGATGAGTGATCTGGTATGCTACCAAGATGACAGGTACTGGAGGCCCTAGATGGCTTTAGGCTGCAGGCTCAGTCCCAGGAAGATCAAGGCATGGCCAGAGGAAGGGTGATATGCCTGAGAGGACCTGCCCCTTGCCCTGCGCATCACTTCCATGTGCTGTTTCTTAGTTGTATTCTTTATAACAAGCCAGTAATTAACCAACAAACTACCCTCTTTAATTCTGTAAGCCTAGATTCTAGTAAATTCTCAAACCTGAATAGGGTATTATGGAAGCACCCCCAAGTTTGTAGTATGAGTGCCTAGATTAGTGACTCRTGTCTGCCATGGAAGCATTCTTGTTAGTCTGATCCTAACTCCATGTACATAGTATCAGAATTGAAGTGAATTGTTGGACACTCAGTTGGTGAATTTGTTGACATTATGGAGAAAGGCCCACACATTTGGTGTCAAAAGTGTTGGAATTGGAGACAGTTCAAAGTGAAATGCATCCATTTTGTGTGCTGCCCCCATGGTAGTGGTTACCTTTTGCATGTCAGCATGAAAGTGATTTGTGGTCTTCAGTGATAGAGCCACAAGACTGCTCTCCTGGTTCATGAGGGCTCCTGAAATGACTAGCACATAATCAYGACTAACAAGCTGTTGTCAGTAGTATTGGTTTACAGATCAAGTTGCAAACATGTTTCATTCAAAAATGCCATTTCCCTCCCAGAAGTATGTTTGATATATTTGACTAGCAAGTACATATATTCTTTTTAAGTTTTTTGTTTGTTTGTTTGTTTAGAACAAAAAGAAAGGCTTTTGATGTTTTCATTACACTTCCTTTTTGACACTGTGGATCCCCTTGGGGAAAAAGGAAAGAGTCTTGCTGGAGCTTCTCCCTCGGTCAGACTCCACTCTCAGTGCCCACTTCTGAGCTGGAAATCACCTCAACCTTTTTCTCCTCTCAGTCTCCTGCATATTAACACCCTAAATGCCATCAAGCATTATCTTTAGCATTCATAGGATGTTGGAGACTGTAGGCATTGGGTGCTATGGGATTCATAGGTCTGCTCCTTGGTTATTTGTGTTCCTAGTAAAATAAAGTGGGAACATATGAAGATAGAATTCATCTCTAACAAGGAAAAGGAACTTTTTTTTTTAAAGAGAGAGTAAGAGAGAGAAAGAGAGAATTTTAATATTTATTTTTTAGTTTTTGGCAGACACAACATCTTTGTTTGTATGTGGTGCTGAGAATCGAACCCAGGCGAGCACGCTACCGCTTGAGCCACATCCCCAGCCCAAGAAACTTTTTAATTTTATAATTTAGGCTCTTTTTGAGGTATAGCTAAGACTTGGTTCTACTCTGTAGTCCGCACAAGGCCAAGAAACGGCCAAGACTATCGGTACCATGGTCCCTGYGTCTTCAGAGCTTACTGCATTCCAAACCAGCCTCCTGCTCCAGTTTCCCTCACTAGAAAATTGTCTTCTGCCCTGTAATAGTTTAGATATGAGATGTCCCCTCATAAAGCTCATGTGCAGAGGTGAAATGATTGGGTTATGAGAACCTTAACCTCTTCGTGGATTAATCTGCTGGTATGGATTAATAGGCAGTAAGTGGGCAGGTGGAGTATGGCTGGAGGAGGTGGGTCCCTGGGGGCGTGCCTTTGGCCTTCATGTCTTGTCCTTAGTGAGTGGAGTTCTCTAGGCTTTCTGATTGCCATGTTCTAAACAGCTTTCCTCCTCACCTGGGGCCCAAAGATGTGCAGATAGGGAAACAGCTGTCTGAACTGAGACCTCTGAAACCTGGAGCACTAAATAAACTTTTTCTCTTCTAGAATTGTTATTGTCTGGTTTGGCCACGACAGCAAAAAATTTAAAATGTCTCCCCACCGTTTAAGAAACACACATAGGAGGCTTTTTTTTTTTTTTTAAGAATATTAACAATCATTAAGCAGACCCTTAATCATCTTTGGTTTTCATCCATAGTTTGACACAAAAACCAAAATGGAAGCTTAAAATTGAATATAAGTCCAACTAAGACAAATATTACTCAAAGTCACTTCATTCCTCTATTTTGAAATGGGCTCATTTCCAAGATAAAAATATATAGATGCTATAAAAGTCATCTACTTGAGAAACCTAGGAAGAAATATATGCCACATTTCATGATACATATTTTGTTCTACCACTTATAATAGTTTACTCTTTATTAAAATGATTTGGTGTCAATGATTTTGGTACCTTTCTGAGAACTTGTAAAATGAGATATGGTATTATGTTTGTGCAAATATTATTAAACTTAAACTCCTAATTTAAAAATTTCACCTKGGGTCATTAGTAATATTTTATAGATATAATCTTTATTACTTAGCCTTTATTCACAAAATCTATTCAGGTTCTTCCTGAAGATATATTTTTGCTACTAACTTATTTTTTAAAAAACAAAGGAAATGCCAAGAAATCTCACATTTCTGTTTATCAATGAGATTTCTTTATGAACAAGTTTTAATGTATAAGCCAACTATTTTTATTTGCTTGGTGCCATATGAATGTATTTAAATAGGAARTACTTAGCTTTAGTCATCAAATTAAGATTATTAACTAAAAAAATTACTCTCATTAAACTTCAGAATACATGCACCAGGCAAAATAAAAAAGTAATTATATCAGTTGGATTATACTAGGTAACATCTTTATTCAGTTATGAACTAGATGTTTAGTAAAGCTCAACAAGTACCCCTCTGGAACGGCATAAGTTAGGTCCTGTGGTTGCAAATAAATTCCAATGGCAATTATTTCCTTTCCACAGTGCTCCAACTGAGGCTGCAACAAAGGAGGACAAGAGAACAACTAGTGGACCAGGGCATCATGCCACGTAAGACCCATGTTATTTTCACCTTTGGTGCTTTACAACAAGATGTGCATGTCTGAGGAGAACCTGTGTCCCACCCACACTTCAGTCATATAGACTGAATTGGCGTACAAATATCAGCCAATTGATGAGGAAAGCCAGGCACCGCATGACCAACCTAAGGAAACCATGTAGAATACATTTTAAAAACCAGGTGTAGGTTAAGAGATGGACTTAAAGGTGTTATTTATATAAAATTCAAGGCACTAAAATTCTTCCTTTGAACTTTAAAAGTGGTTTTAGTTTTAAAATGACTGAAGTAATGAGAGATTACACTTGCAAAAGTAATGTGATAAAAATCACAACTTTATTCTTCTTAAATAATTCAGATTATCTTTGACGCTATACTGTAGTCAATATAACTAAATGTATCCCAGGTACAAGACTAATAAACATTCTTTAATAAAGTCTTTCTGCCCTAAGTATCCCTATAGAGACCTTTGAAAGTTGATTAATTTTAGAATAGTTGTCTTTAATCACAACTTTAGAGGAAATTTTATATTTTACAGGGGAGGAGTGGTTATTATTTGAATTTTGTTTAAAAAATAACTTTTCCTAAAGATAACTTATTCAGCTTTAAAACACTAGAAATTACAAAATCAATTTATGCTTCTTAGTCTTCTAAATCACTGCTAGCCTACAAATCATTTATTGGTTTATAAGGAACATGTTGCTGATTTTTTTTTTTCCCCCAGAGAAATTCTTTTTCTGGACCACTATTGAGTATCTGAATATTTTAAATCTAGTGTTGGAGTCGAAAGCTGCTATGATGATCTGCCAGATTCCTTCACTATCACATTCCTCTCTTTGAGCCAATCAAACAGGATCTGATTATGATGTTTAAGACGACACCACGAGTAGGCCGGCTCTAGTCTGCTTCTGGAAATTGGGCCCTAGCCAAATCTGCCTGAGCTAGGATCCTGGGAGTCTCTACTTTGTTTTAATAGGACCAAGGCTGAGTACAGTGCTTACAAGCTTATTGGTCATGTGTCAGCAGACCAAGGATTCTAGTCCTGTATCCTGTCCACATAGTGGACACATACAAAAATATGTGATAGGTGGTGTTTTAGTAAACACTCTCTTCACACAAAGATTCTAGAATATTTAATACTGGCAGTTAGCATATTAACTCTCACTCATACAATTTTTTTAGAGCTACATTGTTGTATGGTAGAAAAAACATGTCATCATTCAGAATCCTAGATTTAAATCCCGTTTTGACAATCAGCTAGTTATRTGACCTCAAGAATTCAATTAACCTCTTTTAGCCTTTCATCTGTGCTGGGTCTAATACCTACTTTGCAGGGTTGCTGTGAAGGCCCAACAGCAAWGTAACTAATTGGCCACGGAGCTAATCCCAGTATGTGTTCTAAATAAATGGACCCGAAACCTCTTGTTCACAGTACTTTCAAGGACATGTGGGCTTTTTCCAGTAGCAAATATGGACATTAAGAGCAAAAACCTATTAGGAAATCATCAAACAGTCCCCTGGGCAATAGAAATTTGCCCCAGTAGTTGGAAGTAGTCTGACTTAATACCTTCATTGTCAGTTTGTGTACAACTACATTTTAATTGTTTCCCGATTTTATTTGTGAAGTACATTATTTTAATTCTTAAGGCTTCAAGTTTAGTGGATCTCCTAAAGGAAGGAACTAGTAAATAATGGAACTGTACCTGTGCATTGATTAGACTATCAGTATGATATACTRTGAGATTGGACTGAAGTGTAAACTTTTCTATTTATACTGTGGAAAACTATTTTCCCCTCACAGCTTTGAAGAGCCCAGCAGCATTCCATGAACAGATAAAAAGCTTGGAACGAGCCAGAGTAAGAAACTTCACTTTAAAAATGTTCTGCTTCTCTGCTTTATTTTAAAGTTTACCTGTGGACAAATAGCAATATTACTGTATTTTCTCTGACATATTTAGGAGTRTGTCTTCAAGGTACATGGTGTAGACAGCATGTATTCTGGGGTAGCTTGATCTTGGAGATTTGTAGAAAAAATTTTTTAAACCAACAAGTACTTTTATACATAAGACAAATCATACTTCTTCACTTCCTTGCTTTCAGGGTATAACAACAGTTTTTAGAGACATAATACAGAATTCTGCCATTTGTTGCCAAGGAGGACAGCCAAGCGATGTGCTGACTCCAGATGCTTRGGTGATTTCCCTACTTGGTCTCTATTGGCCATGATTTCGACTGAGGGTAGGAGAGTTTGGCTAAATCATAGAGCATTGCTGAACTCAACTCTGAGATGACTGTCATAGTGTCATAGCTCACTGGTGTTTATTATTTTTCTCTGAAAGTGCCATTATATACATTCTTCCTGGTTTTTTTTTTTTTTTTTTTGGTGGGGGGTGGATAATATCATGCAGCATGAAAATAAGCATATTCCAAAAATTCCTTAAGAATTTTCCCAGAATGCAATAATGATCTCTGAGAGTCTTATAAAGTTCATTTTAAAGCCCTGTTGTTTAAGTATAATTCCAACTGAGAAAATTCATTACTAAGAAATTTGTTTTCTAAATGGATTTCTATTTGTACTAACATGCAGATTTTGATTTTTTTTAAATATCGAAATAATTAAATCCTATGTCTATCCAAATATCACCTTCAAAATCATGAGCTTTTGACTTTGCCAAGTTTTAAAAGTCTGTAAAGTCCATGCACTTTAAGATTTTGAAATCTGAAATTTAAATCATGTGTTGGGTAATAGTTTCTATAGGTATTAATTTCTAATCTTTCTCTCAAACACATGACAAAAAAGGGCATATAATTTACTTAAATGGAGTACCTTGAAAAAAATTAAAATAGATCATAAATAACTTATAATAAGACTTTTACCATTTTCCCCCCACCCCACAAAGACTGAAAACTTTTTGAAACACAAGATACGGAGTCGACCAGATCGTTCTGAACTTGTCAGGATGCACATTTTAGAAGGTAAAGGTTTTTTTCTACTTATTTTGTTGTGTTTTCTCAAGCAGTAGGAAAGCCTCCTTACTATTTATTCCAATTATAATAACTTTTTGCCCCCACCCCAGGCTGACATTCTCCAAATTGGATAGAAACGCTAAAATTCTGTGTTATATACAGGGCAAGGTTTGAATCTCCAAGTAAACAATTGATGGATGGCTTTTCCACCAGCTGGTGCCTCCTCTGTTCTGTTTTGGGCAGACATTTTTTGATCCAGAGAGTTTATCTATCATTGAGGAACATGTGCTCTACTCATGAAGTCATAGAGGGCATCAACAGGTCTAACCCCAGAATTTCAGCTATGACCTTGTTTATGTCCACCTGGCTCAACTCCTCACTGCAACTTTCCTAAAATATCCAGCCTGATATGAAAATTACCATAAACACCCCTACCAACACACAGAAAGTAAGTGATCTAACCTCATCACTTAGGGTCCTTGGAGGAATAGTTGCATTCCATTCTTGCTAAACACATGGCTCAGGCCTAGGTACTTTTCCTCTCTAAAGAGAGCATTCTTGAAAGCTAGCACCTCTACCAAAAAGTCCCAAATTACATTTTCTTTCATTGTTTTGCTTCTCTGTTGAAACTAGGGGCTTAATCCTGTGATAGTTGTGTCTAAGACTTCTTAAATATCTAGAGCCAGTTATCCGGTAGAAAGAAGATCTGTTCTATATAGGCCTGATTAGAATTAGAATTAGAATTAGAATTAGAATTAGGTTGATTTTACAGAAAGTATTAGATTATAGCTTAATATGAGGAATAACCATATTAAAGGCCAGACACTTGTCCAAAAATGAAATCTTAGAGGTGTTCATCCACTGGCCAGCATACTAGAAACCGAGAGAGAGCGCAAGACAAATAGATGCCTGCCTTCCTGGAGTTTGTGTTCATAGTGGCAGAGAGAGAAAATGAACAAACAAAACTTGTGAAATTACAGACTATGAATAAACAGGTTTTTGTGAAAGAGAACATCCAGGATGACACTACATAGGATACCATGAAGAAGCTCCAAGTATGCTGGGCACAGTGACACATATCTGTAATCCCAGCAACTCAAGAGGCTAAGCCAGGAGGATCTCAAGTTCAAAGCCAGCCTCAGCAACTTAGCAAGGCCCTATCTCAACATAAAATCTACCAAGGTTTGGGAATGTGGCTCAGTATTAAGTGCCCCTGAGATCAGAAGGTACCAAAAATAAAAGAAGTTCCAAGTACCAAGCTGGTCTCTACCACTCCAAGTAGGGTCTCCTTCAGCCTAAAGCTCCTACTGTTAAGTGAACAATAGCAGTAGTCCATTTTTCCCTAATGGCCATGTTAATTCAAGTCTGTGGGCATCCATTTGTATAGATGGGTAAATGTCTGTAGAGCTAACAGACTGTATGCTGGTGCATTCTTAMACAGATTGTTCTCTTTCCATAAAGATGATAACTCCTAAATATGTTGAAATCTGTTTAGTGAGTTGACTTGAAATAACATCATGAAATAGAAAGAGTAATTCAAGTAATGGTTAAAACTTTCCTCTTTTAGAAACATTTGCTGAGCCATCCCTGCAAGCTACTCAGATGAAGTTGAAAAGAGCTCGACTAGCTGATGATCTGAATGAAAAGATTGCGCAAAGGCCGGGACCCATGGAGCTGGTGGAGAAGAACATTCTTGCTGTGGACTCTGGTGTCAAGGAGGCAATGATAGGCAAGAGCAGAATTCACCGTCTTCTGAGAGAGGGTTGGAGCTCTAGAGGAAAGGCCAGCACTTAACTAGAAATTAACACTTACAGTAATTCTTGTTACTATTATCTTACTACTAATTAGGTTAGCATCTGCTACCAGTTAACTCAGAGTCCCCTTTATGATTGAGGTTTAAGCCTGCTGTTATTTCATTATCACATTTTCTAGGTTAAATCACTATATTATACTATTTAGGATGTATAATATTTTTACAAACTTTTCATTGTTTTATTTTCTATTTTCTTCTAGAAAAGATAGCTTGTTCAGGAAGGAGAATAGCAGATGAATATGGATGTATTCTTTCAATGGTAGTTATCTGTCCGCTTTATCCTGGTCTTATCATATTTACTGATTTTTGTTTTGTTTTCCCCTGGTGCTGGGGATTGAACACAGGGTCTGCACTTCTTATGCATGTGCTCTTCTACTGAACTACACCCTCACCTCGAGTATTACTCTTTCTGGTATAAGCTTTAATGGAGAAAAATCCTTTCAAGAATAATGCTACTTATTCTGTAAGCAATATTGAAAAGTTACTGTCCTATCTTAAAAGCTATAGCTTCCCTTAGACCTGGGCTTTTCATATTTTACATTAGTGACTTTAACACATTGGCAATTTATACTCGTGAATTCTCAGACAAGTATGACTCTATTCAGTTTTGGAAATTGRCCCTCCAGAAAATGAGAATCTAGCTGGGCTGGGCTTTTCCTTGAAATGGGAGCTTCTCAACTGATACCCCGTAATAACCTCATTTTCCCCATTGCCTTTTTTTTTTTTTAAGAGAATTTTTTTTAATATTTTTTAGTTATCGGCGGACACAACATCTTTGCTTGTATGTGGTGCTGAGGATCAAACCAGCCACATCCCCAGCAGCCTTATGTTTTTTAGTACTTGAATTACACGATAGGGTCCAGACAAGGTCTACTCATTGCCTTCGGCTGGTGTATCTCAATCTTCTTTTTCCTTCCCTTTTTTATCTATTGGTGGACAAGACGGGCTTGTATTGTCCTCTAGCATGCCTCATTCTGCATTTTCCTGTTTGCATTCCCAGATGTCACTAAAAATATTCCTATCCCTGTGTTTCCTGCAACTGATAGTTGGATCCACATTTTTCCTCCCTTCCCACAGAATACATCACAGGTAGTGGTGTGTGCTTCCATTGGGAAGTTTTTTATATTCAATTGTAATTTAAGAGCTTCTCAATTCTTCTGGGAAATAGTGTTCCTCCTCTTTCATAGTAAGCTTGATATTCCAGGGCCTTTGTGAGTTAACATTCATTTCTTCCTCAGGTGTTGGGAAGGACGACTATCCCCACACTCAGGGTGATTTCTCATTTGATGAAGACAGCAGTGACGCTTTATCTCCAGACCAGCCAGCGAGCCAGGAATCACAGGGGTCAGCCGCATCCCCGAGTGAGCCAAAAGTTAGTGAATCCCCATCTCCTGTGACTACAAACACTCCAGCCCAGGTATTATTTTTTTGGTTTTGACCCCTAAAAAAGTTTCCTGTTTTTTATATAGTGTATAAAGCAATGCATTTTTATGAGAAGAAAAACGAAAGGTTAAAAAAAATACTTTTCAGCATTATGAATGCTGTTTTCAGTGATTCTTACCTATTATTTCTGCTGTACATACATTTTGCAACTTGCTTTTTAAAAGCCTCAACATTTCCTGACATGTGTTTTCACATAAGATTTTTTTTTCTATCATCGTGCAACAGATCAACTTTTTTTTAAATAGCGAAACTAAAATTTTATACCCAATAAACTCTTCCATTCCCATGTGTCTTCTGCTCTGTGAGCTACGACTACTCTACATACCTTATAACAGTGGGATCCTACAATGTTTGTCTTATTTCACTTACCATAATGTCCTCAAGGTTCATTCATGTTGCAGCATGTGACAGGATCTCCTTCCTTTTTAAAAACTGAATAATATTCCATATTTAGAGAAATGTCTATTAAAGTCTTATCCCCATTTTTAAATCAGGTTATTTGCTGTGCCGAATTGAAATTCTCTAGGTATTCTAGGTATTAATCCTCTGCCAGATATATGGTTTCATGTGGTTGGAAACGCTTCCTCCCTTGGATTGCTTCTTCACTCTGTTGCTTTTGGTGCAGTTTTAGATTTGGTTTACTCCCATTGTCTGTTTTTATTTTGTTGCCTGTGCTTTGGTCACATCTAAAACATCACTGCCAACGTCATTAAGCTTTCCTGTTTTCTCCGAAGAGCTGTTCTTTCTTCATTGGATGGGCTTGGCACCCTGTTGAAGGTCATTTGACCATGTACAGGAGGGTGGACTTCTGGGTTCTGTTCGGTTCTGTTCCACTGATCTCCATCGTCTGTCTTCAGGCCAGTATCACTCTTTTGTAGCAAGTTTGAAATCAGAAAGTGTGAGAACTCTACCCTTTGTTCCTCTTCTGCAGTAAAGTTCTTTGAAATTCCATATGAATCTTAGTATAAACTTTTTTCAGGGAAAATTCACCTTTTTGAAGATTCTGTTGAGTTTTAATATATTCAGAGTTGTACAACCATCACCCCAAAAAATCCACATCCAWTAGCAGTGTTGCGCCTTTACCCCTCCACCCAAGCCTGGGAAATCATGCTTTCTGTCCAATTTGCCTTTTGTAGGCAGTGCATATAAACAGTTATATACTATGTGACCTTTATGACGGGTTTCTTTCACTTTTAGTGAAATGTTGTGACGATCCAGCCATGAGATGGCTGAGAATCTACTACTGAGCTACACACCTGGCTCTGAGAATTGAGTGTTTTAATTGGATTTTTGTTGTTACTGACATTGAATTCATTTGTTTAGAAACTATTTAAGCACCTCTGTCAGATATTATTTTAGCACATGCAAAGGAATCTAATGAATATTTTGATAATTTCATTGGAAATTAACATTTTTAATGAGTATTCATATTTGCTGGTTTGACAAGAATTCCTATGGTGCACATCATTTGTTCTTCATCTCTCCTTATAGTGTTGGGCCTTACTATTGAACTGCTTAATAGAAGTAGTCCAGTGCAGCAAAACATGCTCTTCATGCTCTTATATTGTAAGCACTATAGAACTAATTTGGAAAGGAATTTAAGAATTATCTGCTTAACCCCTTGCATAAAAGGCAGCCTGAATTCACAGAGGTGTAGAGTTTGGAGAGCAAACTTTTTTCATCATTTCTTTCTACTTGTGAACATCTATTAGGAAAAGTGTCTTTCAGCATTAATTTCTTTATTGCTTTCATTTGTTGTCTCTGTGCCTCCAACTAAAATGTGAGCTTATTACAAGAGGGATCTTAATTCGCAGAGGACTAGAAGTCCTTGGAGGGATGTGTATGTGTTCAACAGCTAGCACAGGGCCTGGTGCAGAAAGATACTCAGAAAACTCAGCAGCAGTTCAGACTGATGCTACTTGTGGAATGCTATAGAAATTTCTGTTCTCCTTCCATATGAATGGAGATAAAATCCTCCTACCAAAGCTCACAGGCAAGAGAGACTGGGCCTGGAAGAAGGATGAGGGTCAGTGACCAGCCCCTGATGGGTTTTCACGTATTTGCTGCACCCTGGTTTGAGCTTTAAAAATAAAGCTAAAAAGAATGTCAAGTATGCAAGAAAATACCATAAAAAAGTTCTCATCCATTTGGATTGTCTGTTCTCGGAGTAGGTCAGGATGTCAGATGGCTATTAGTATGGCCTTAGTGACACAAAATTTTTGTCATCTGTCAGCGGCTTCACTATAGTTCTGCCTGCATAAGAGGCTATCATTCTCCTTTTCCGTGTATTGCTTATATCATTGCATTTTTTCCTTTGCAACTTGGCTGAAGACAAAGTTTATAAGTGACAGGCTTTAACCAGAGGGAGTCACACCCAATGCTGACATTCCAGAATTATTTGGAGAAAAATAGAAATGGCTTTTTTTCATTGAATAAGTATGAAAAGCCGGGCATGGTTGCACACGCCTATAATCCCAGTGATTTGGAAGGCTGAGGCAGGAGGATCGCGAGTTCAAACCTAGCATCAGCAACTTATCAAGGCCCTGGGGATGTGATTAAGTGCCCCTGGATGCTAATGAGGCACACACATTAAGGCTTGGGTCAGTCCTGAACTGAGGCTTTCAAGCCTTTGGAGTACCCCACAAGGACGTAGGTTCAATTCCCAATWCAATGAAAAAAATGTAGGATGAATAGTCTCCTTAATTCTTAGCTGCTAGAGGATTAACAGTATCCACAGAACAGTATCCAAATATTAAAAACACCCTTTACCAAAAAGTTTTACATACAACACCTAGGTAAAGAACCAGTTTTTCAGGCACTTCTCTTGTGCTCCTACAACCAAAATGCTAATGACATAGTAATACAARAAACTATTTTGAAGTAGGCATTTCTGATTGGTCTGTAACACCAAAACTGTTCCTGGATTACTCCATTCTGCTCAAACTACAGTTAGAAAGGAATTTACCCAAATATTAATGGAATATACATCAGAAATTGGAGCTCAACTTATTTTATGCTTAAGCAACTTTGAACAATGGAAAGCTGTAGAAAATTAAAAATGGCTGTAGCTACATGTGAAGTGGTTACACTGGTCCTTTCAATACAGAGATTCTTAGCAAGTTCTTAAGCCCTTAAATTAATCATTTGTTATAAATACAGTATTGTTTAACCGTAATCATTACCTAATGGGATTTATGTGAAGTTTAGTAGTGCTAAAAGAAACTTGTTGATCAACTATTCAGTGTATTTTCGGGGACATACACTTAGGAGCCTTTCATAAACTACTTTTTTCCCATTGTGCCAAGTAACACTCAGGTATATGATCTTTTGTCAAATGTAGAAATCTTAGGTTTAAGCTAAAAAGGAAAGTAAGCAGAGTCTACAGCAAGCCATATGCACATATATTAAATAATCAAAGTTAGATGAACTTTGATCACAAGTACTTATCAATAAGGACCTGAATAAGACATAGACTCCATTATCCCCTTTGGTTATGCTGCCTCTTACAGTTTCACAATAGAGGCTGGAAAATCTGTCTCGTTCTAAGTTTTAACTCAATTTTCTGTGATTAAAAGCAAACTACCTAGAATAGTGCATTATGCAGAAAAGACCTCACCTATTTATAATGATGAATCTTCATTGAAATGATAAAACATGCTGAGCACTCACTGTGAGGCAGACACTAAGCTGCTTGCTTTGAATGTATTACCTATCATGCAAAAGGGGCATCTGATTCACTGAGGGTTCAAATTAATGACCATTTTCTCATTAGACCAATAGTTCAAGATTATTTTCCAACACTGCTATAGTTTGGGTCTGGAATGTCCCCCAAAGCAAAGTCTTGGTCATCAGCCCGTGGAACTATTGAAACATGGGAGTTTGCTTATCTAATATTGGCTAATAATTTGTGATTTCAGTAATTCACAGGGGGTAGAGCTCTAAAGTAGCATTTCAAAAAAATATTTTTAGTTGTAAATAGACACAATAACTATTTTTTATGTGGTGCTGAGAATCAAACCCAGTGCCTCACACATGCTGGGCAAGCGCTCTACCATTGAGCCACAACCCCAGCACTAAAGTAGCATTTTTTTTTTTAATGTGACTAAATTTGGTATTAAGATAGAATGTCATGCCAGGCTATGGTGAAACACCTGTAATGCCAGACACTCTGAAGGACTGCAAGTTCAAGGCCTGCCTGGACAATTTAGCAAGACCCTGTCTCAGAATAAAATGAAGATTGGGAGTGTGGCTTAGTGGTAGAACACCCCAGTACCATATAGCAGGGCAATGGAAGGAAATGTCCAATTCCGTGGTAACTACAAAGAAAATATCTGTAGAATTTATGTAAAAGAACAGGAGAAGGGAATCAAAACAAGTCACTACAAAGTCAACCAAATACATAGATGGAAAGACATCCTGTGTTTTTAAGGTATTAATACTACCCAAAGCAATCTACAGATTCATCAATGTAATTCCTATTTTTATAGGGATTATAAGTTTTGGCAGAAAAAGTCAAGGGACCTGAAAATTTTTTTTTAATGTTGACAGTCTTGCCTTTTTTAATTTTTAAACTCACTACAGAGCTACAGTAATTAGAAACTTTGACATTCATTTTCAGATGATCTTTTACAAAGGTATGAAGACTATCCAATGTGGAAAAGACAGTCTCTACAACAAATGGTACTGGGAAAACTGGATATCCATAGGCAGAGGATGAAATTATACTATATTTACCCCAGCATCAAACATAAAAATTAACTCAAAATGTAAGAGCTAAAACTATAAAAACTCTTAGAGGAAAAATCTTTGATTCTAGTTTTGGCAATGATTTCTTGGATTTGACATTAAGTCAACAAAAGTGAAGATAGACAATTGGGTTTTGTACAAAAGTTATTACTTTTGATAAAGAGTAGTATCAGCAATGTGAAAAGCCAACCCAAGAATGGGAAAAGAATATTTCAAAACCATATATCAGGGCTGGGGGTTGTGGCTCAGTGGAAGAGCGCTCGCCAAGGCATGTGCAAGGCCCCGAGTTTGATCCTCAGCACCACATTAAAAAAAAAAAAAAAAAAAAACAGTAAATAAGATAAAGGTATTGTGTCCAACTACAACTAAAAAATATCTAAACATTTTTTTTTAAATATAATATATGAGCTAGTATCTGGTATATACAAAAAAAATTCCCACAGTGACAGAAAATAACCAACCTTATTCCAAAATGGGCAAAGGTCTTGACATTTCTCCAAAGATATACAAATGCCCAACAAACATAGACAAGACACCCCAGTGGGAATGTCAAATGGTGCAGCCACTATAGAAAATGGTGTTGGCTCCCCTCTCTCTCTCTCATATATATAAAATTCAAACATTTGGTTCTACTTCGTGTGCTGGTTATATAACAGTTAAGGAATGAGTTTTCCCCTCTGTGAAAATGAGCCTAGAGATAAGTATACTCATTTCCAAAAATTATGCAAGATAGGAAAAACAAGATCCTCTAACAGGTCGTCAAGACAATACCTTTCATCTGGTGTGTAAGTTTGGTTGGTCAGAGGTTTGTTGAGGAACTGGACATCTCAGGCTTGTTTAGGGGCAGAAGTCTGCTGGAACATGAGGATAAAGTCTCTTAGATGAGTCCTTTACCTCCCGAAATGAAATTGAGTACAGACATCTTTACAAAGTAGACTCATTTATATTGTCAATAATTACTTAAAAGTTGAAGTCAGTAGCAAAACCTCAAGGAGAAAACAGACATGGGCATGCACTGTTAATGGCAGTCTCACACACATGGTCTCAGTTGAGCTGGAAAACATAACCTAGCTGAGTAAAGCCAAAAGGATAACTGAATATTTGTTGAGTAACTATGTGCCAAGCTTCATATTTCTTGCTGCTAATAAAAATAGATGACCTGAAAACTCATTAAGAAGAATATAGTTTGCTATTTTACAACCCGAATACTTAAATAGGAGTATGAGTTTGACTGTTGGTGTAATGAATTTGAGAGTTGTTTGGGGAAGTGAAAGTGAAAAAACGAAGRCTTTTTCTTAAAGATAAAACAGGTAATAAGTAAGTCCAAGTAATAGCAACATATAACATTCAGCTGATTTATCGTAATGAATTCTATTGAAAGGAGATTGCTAGCAAGGATTGATAAAGCCCTTTCCTTCTGTGGCTTTCCSTGTTGATCTGTGGGCTCCATATTGAGATTCAGTAGCTGTTGTTTGGACCTGGGAAACAAAGCAGCTTTTCATTTCGAGATGGCATTGTCAGAAAAACAAGTCAGTCTTGCCAGAAGATATCCTCAACTCTTCTCTTGGAAGAAACAGGGCAATGTGGTTCATGAGAGTGCTAGTCAGGCTTGCAGACAGGAGTTGGAGAGCACGTTTAAGGACTCACAGGTGAAGTGGGCCTCCATGAAGAGATGCTGCCCAGTGTGGGAACAGGGCATGGATCCTTTGGGCTCTGCAACAAAGACAAAAATACCATCTCAGTATTTTTAGAATTGGCCAGGGTTAGTGTGACCGGTCTAGCAAGGAAACCTTCATAAATACCATGTATTGTTTTGATCATTTTTTACAATCTTGGACTTTTTTTTCCTGCCAAAAAAGGGTGGTTCTCTGAGAAATGCTAGAGTTTAGTCACTCTAACCTTATTTAGCTTCAGCCACTGAGTGTTACAGGGGCAAAGACTGAATAACTGGCTCCAGTGAGGTAAAGCATCTTGATCCATCATCCGGATATCAGACAATAGTATATTTTTCCTTTGTTTCTAATGAGGTCATTCCCTGTTAATTCTGACTCTTCTGTTTTTTTATGGTCACTGATTTCACAAACTTGTTCCTTTTCTGCCTGTTCCACCAGTTTACTTCAGTGTCCCCAGCAGTTCCTGAATTCTTGAAAACTCCTCCAGCTGTGGACCAGCCTCCCACAAGGTCCACTGCTCCTGTCCTCCCCACGAACACTGTGTCCTCAACGAAACCTGGCCCAGCACTGGTGAAGGTGGGTACTCTGCTGCACAGCCTTGCAGAGCTTATTGCACTTCTGTCTGGAGTCCGGACAAAACACGGAGGCATCACCCGAGCTTCCCAACCTGCCTTTAAGCCCRAAGCCTTGAAAACTAACCCATGAAAGCCTAGCTAGACTGGGGCCTTCATTTGAAACTGCCACAGTTAACATGAGACCTGTTGTTCTATAGTCACAGAAAAAGGGCACAGAATTTGGCCTACATAAAACTGCTGGGGCAGAGTGGCAAGGCTTCAGGAATCCCTTCATCAGCAGTTCCAAGTTCTGCCACTCAGGCTACAGAGATGAAATGGGGGGCACGGTAAGATGGAGTTGCTTCAGCACAGCACTTGAGACTCAAAGCCTCCCAAACAGATGTCTTTAAGGCAGCATGGTTTGGAACTTGGTGTACAAGGTTGATCTCCGTGGTATTTTGGATAGATTACATGACAGATTAAAGGTTTTAGAGAAGCAAATGTTTTTTCATTTAGCAGATTTGGCCAGATGAAGCTTGGTTTGTTCTCAGATAAGCTTTAGATTTGTGGCTCTGTTCCCTGCATTTACTTGGTCAGAGTGAATCGGAATAAATCCCAAGAAAGAAAATTTGACAGTACCTTTTTGAACTTCTTAATGAAATAGATGGGGAGAGTAAACTAAGGAACAGTCTAAACATTTCCTAGGTAGCTTGTGCCAAAACTGCCAGAATACATATCTCAGCCCTTTAGGACTGAAGAGGGACATTAGAGAGTTAGGCGATCTCTCCCTGGGGTCCAGAGGCAGCAAGAAGCCACAAGGCCAGGAAGGGGCTGGGCCACCTCCCACGTTTGGGTTCAACCTTCTTCCCACCATTGCAGCCTACTGCAACCTCTTCTGAAGCAAGGGAGTAGCTTTCAGACTGGAGTGGCACATATTCCTCCCTCCCGTCTCTCTACTGGAGCTTGTCCTTACTGAGAGGCACTCTGTCAGCATGACCAAGTGTCTGTAGCTTTAGGACATACGTAAGCATATGTCACCATCTCTGGAAGAGTGATGAGTGACAACTACACCAATAAAATCGGCCCTTGCCACCTCTTCCAGCATCTCTACACACTCTCCACTGACAGCAGAGAGAGCGCTCTGAATACCAGCCCATCTTTATCTACTAACAGTGAAAATTAGCTCCCTGCTTCCCCCTCTGAATTTCTGCTTTTCACTGGTGTCTTTCAGGAGGTCTTTGGTTCTAGAGGAGCTGTTGGAGAATGTGGAGTAGGGAACCCTAGGACAATGGCAAGAAAGGAAGGACAGGTCATGTTAGGAAGTGGACCATGATTCTTTTGGCTCTGCTATGAGGGGAGCGGTCTCCTACCCTCACTAAAAGAACACATGTGCTGCCATTAGGGGATAGCAGATGGAGCCTGCAATCCACTGGCCATTACGTTTATGAATCCTCCAGGTTGGGTCCCTTTGTAACAATTGTACTCAAAATATACTTAAATTAGTTAAGAAAAATGTCTAAACTCCTCTCCACATTGTTAATCTTTTTGGCCCTTCTAGAAAGGGCCAAAACCAGAACAAAGCAACACCCTCCCTACCCCACGTAGGTGGTAGGCTCCTTCTGGCTAAAGTAACTAAAAGTGTTTAAATACTAGTAATTTGGAAATGGGGGAAAAAAAAAGGATTAAAAAGTATCCAGGCTCTGGGCTGGGGCTGTAGGTCAGTGGTAGAGCACCCGCCTCGCACGTGGGAGGCACTGGGTTCGATCCTCAGCATCACCTAAAAATGAATAAAGGGGTTGTATCCATCTACAACCTAAAAAAAAAATTATAAAGGGTACTAACTTTGTTCCACAGTAAACTGAGCAGTGTCTTAAAGCCTTAACAAGAGTACCAGATAGATATGTGTACATTGCCATTAAGACCCAACTTTACCTTGTGGGCTGAAAGAATCAATCACAGTTGTTTCCCTAAAGAAAAAACAAAGCTGCAGACACTACCATCTTGTTGGATCTGATCACTGCTCCTACCTGCAGGTCATAGGTCTCAAGCCACATTTTGAGTATAAATAATCCTTATTAATTTTTTATGATCAGTTTGAAAAGACTAAAATCACTGATAATAAAAAATAAGCAGCTCATAGTGAATTAATACTACCGGGTGTACTTAATCAGGCAAAGATGTTTTCTGACAGTGATAAGTACTTCAAGTACCTGATCATTAAAATGATTTCTGCTTACAGTCATCATTCCTCCACTAGATACTACTTATACCTTCTATGGTGCCTGCCACTGTTCCGGGTCCTAGGAGATAGATGAAGCAATGAGCAAAATCTCAAAAGCCCACCCTTAGAATAAACAGACCACAAAGAATAACACAGGATAGGGAGTGCTGGGGCAAAGGTGTGCTTCTGTTTTAAATAGGGTAGTCTGGTGACTTTGGGATGGAGATCTGACAGAGGTGAAGGTATAAGCCATGAGTCTATCTGAGAAAGAAGCCAGTACAACTTGGCCAGGGACAGCCCAGGATAAAAAGCAAACCCTATAGCTAGGGAGCAGTGAGAACAGAAGGGTTGAGCCTATAGCTGTCAGGAGAAGCTGCTGGAGGGCGAGATCTGCAGCGTTACACACCGTGGAGGGGCAGCAGCGGAAGCAGAGAACTGGTGAAGGTGGCATCTGTCGGGGAARTCACAAGTGACCGGCTTCTGAGTGGAATTTGAAGGCTAATAAGCTGGCAGGGTTTGCCAACAGATTGGCCCTATGGGTAAGAGGGGTCCTGGACCATTCGCCATTTGTGTCTAAGCAGTGGGGATTACTGTGAATGGAGGGAGCACACCTGAGTTTGAGGTGCTTAGCAGACACCTTAAGCAGCTAAGGACAAAAAACACAGAAGTTATCACTGTATTTGAGTCCCGAAAGCCACAAGAGCCCAGAAAAACTGCCTAGGCTCAATGTAGAGGAAGAGGTGGTACAAGAACTTGGGCATGCCACCAGGGGGACGTGGGAAGGGCAGGACAGGCAAAAGAGCCCAACRAGAAGCAGCAAGGAAGTGGGCCAGGGACAAAGCCAAGGGAAACATCGAGGAAGAGGGAGAGAGGAGCTGCGTCAGACACGGCTTTGGGTCTGAGTGCTGCGGTTAGCACCGTCAAAGTTAAGAGAATCTGTTCCTTGGCAACGTCACTTATGTGCTAGAAGCAAAAATTTAGAGAGTGAAAAATTAAAAGGGAGAACAGGAGAGAGTGTCATAGCCTTTTTGAGGACCTCTACTAGAAAGGAAGCCCATAGCTTGACTGGACTGTGGGGCCAAATTGTGTGAGCCCACGGGGAAGAACCAGGAGAGCGGCAGGCATTGCTACGTGATCACTATGTATGGGCAAGGGAACGTTGCCTCAGTCAAAGTGCCGAGGTGCTGGCCTAAGGCAGCAGCACCCACTGCTGGTTCTCAGCCACAGGAAAGAAAGCCACCTACAGTGTCAGGAACAGGTGGGCACTGGGTACGTGAGGAAGCTCTGTGTCAGTCACTTCCTCAGTGTTTAGGAAACAGTGCCATCAGGTGACAGTGAGCATGGGGAGAAGATAGATGGTAATATTCTAGAAGAGTAGGAAAATAATGGAATTAAAACAAGGTAGTAGAATGGTCAGGTGGCACTGACCAGCCATTGAAGTTGATGGTCGTGAATTTAAAGGGAGATGGGTTGGAAGTGTTTTGCCTGCAGCACTTCTACCTCCGTGAGTACAGGCATGGCATGAACCAACAGTTCTCACTAGTCTGCCACCCTGCTACAGGGACAGTTGACAATGTCTAGAGACATTTCTGGTTGTCACAGCATCAGGAAAAGGTGGCTACCAGCATCTGTTGGAGAGAGGCCRGGGACACTGCTGACCATCTTGCACTGCACAGCATAGCCCCCACAGCCAGTATTACCTGGTTTAAAATGTTGATAGAGCTACTATTGAGAATCCCAAGAGTAAGCAAAGAATCAGGTTAGGGTTTGGGAGGTGAGAGTGGCAAAGGTGGGTGAGGCCTGTGAGTGAAGCGTGGGAGATGGTAAGGAGAGGAGAGCACAGCTGTGTAAAGGTGTGAGTGGAGTGGACTGTAGCCTTCGGTGGCATTGGGGAAATGGAAGTGGCACCTTGGATGGAACAAGTCAACATAACAAGTGGTGGTTATTCAGTTAGGATGCTGGGAGGTAGAAGACATGATCTCGCTCTAACCAGAGAGAGTGGCTGGGAGAGGAGATGAGCTATCCAGAGGAAGTGAAATCAAGGAACTRATACTAGAATATCGGAGGGTTGTCAAAAATCACCGGGAGTAATGACAAGTGTTGGAGAAAGTAAGACAGGAATTGCTGGGTTACGGACCTGATAAAGAACTGGAAGACAGCCGGGTCATGTGGTCCAGTCTGAGAGAGGACGAGTCACGAGGATAAATCCTCTCCATATACCTTTTTATTTGCAGGGAGAGATGGTACTAGGGATTGAACTCGGGGGCACTCAACCACTGAGCCACATGCCCAGCCTTTTTTTTTTTTTTTTTTTTTAATTGAAAGGGTCTAAGTTGCTTAGCACTTCTCCATTACTGATACTGGCTTTGAACTCGCTATGCTCTCGTCTCAGCCTCCCAAGCTGCTGGGATTACAGGTGGGCACTACCGCGCCCAGCCACAATTACCTTTTATAAATTCTTACAAGTGTTCAAAATTAGGCTACTAGTTAGATCATGTTATTATAGTGACATGCTGGTCAGTGTGTAACAACTTGGCTGAGGGTCAGAGAGATAAGTCATAGCATTTGCCAGTTCTCCTGGTATAAGTTCCCTCCATCACTGAGTGCAGAATTGGGAAAGCTGCATACATTTGGCTCTCAGACCTCACTAACTGTGTTCATAAACTGTTTCGTGATATAGCCACAAAAACCATGTTGCTGAGTTGTTCTGACAAGGGGAAAATTCTTGATATATCAAGTGGAGGACAAAAAGGCACATTTCTAGTAAGCATAGATAATATCGGAAGAATATATAAAAGAACATTAATAGTGACTATTTCTGGTCTGATACACTGTGGCAGTTTTGTTTTGGTTTCTTGGGGCTTTTTGTGCAGTTTCCTAATTATATATGAACATATATAACGTGACCAGTCAACATTTAAGTACTTCTCAAATTACTTTTTATTAAGTTGTATTGTTACCTAAAGCAACTTAGAAATAATTTCCTAATGATTTTCCATTTTGGGGGGAGGTGGGGTGACTGTTTCCACAGATGAAATTACTCTATGAATACTGAAAACTACAAAATGATTTGAACCTAGTTTGGGTGGTGCACGCCTGTAATCACGGCAGCTCAGGAGACTGAGGCAGGAGGATCACAAGTTCAAAGCCAGCCTCAGCAACTTTAGAGACCCTGTCTCCAATTAAAATATTAAAAAGGGATGGGAACGTGACTCAGTGGTTAAATGCCCCCAAGTTCAATCCCTAGTACCCCCCCCAAAAAAAAAGATTTGATAATTTATAAATTAAGAACTACTCAAGAAAAAGTTACGACTCTTAATCATAAGATGAGGGATGCATGGTATCCCACCCCATTTTCAAAGTAAAAATGTAATATGTTTGAAAGGTCTTTAAATTCACATTAAATATTTTAGATTTTTTTATATTCTGCTTTACTCTCATTAGAATCATTTGTTTTTATATATTCTCCATATTTAAAAAGAAATTAGTGAAATACTCTTAATCTTTTCTCTATTGTGTATTTCACRTACAGCCCGTTTTTTACTAGGAGATAACGTGTGTGTACACAGCAGAACCAAAGTGCACGTTTGAGGAATTTGAGGTAATGCTGGACTAAGCATCCAGCCTGCACCCTTAGGGAACAGTGGGGGCAGGAGAAAATGCCTTGGTCAATGTAAGTATAGAGATGTTTTTATGGCTCTTGAAATCTATTTAGTATATTGCTTCCCATAGTAGTTACAGTGGGTTCTAAGGTACACTGCTTTTTTATCGTTCAGACTCATAGCAGAATCAATTTTATGGAATGACATCTCTTAAAAATATTTTTTCCCCCTCAAAAATAGCAAAGCCATCCCAAGAATCCAAATGACAAACACCGTAGCAAAAAGTGCAAAGATCCTAAACCACGGGTAAAGAAGTTAAAGTACCACCAATACATTCCACCCGATCAGAAAGGTGAGAAGAATGAGCCACAGATGGACTCCAACTACGCCCGCCTGCTCCAGCAGCAGCAGCTGTTCCTGCAGCTGCAGATCCTGAGCCAGCAGCAGCAGCACTACAGCTACCAGACCATCCTGCCTGCACCAATCAAGTACGGGCGGGGTTGATGCACTTATAAAGTGGATTGTATTGTGGGTTTTAGGAGGACCTCAAGTTACCAAAGTTCAGATGTGCTGACTTATTTGTGAGCAGTGATTACTTTTAGTTTGTTATCAAAGCTCACCTCACCATAGTGTCTAAAGTCACACAGTGAGAATGGGCTACATTTCAGTGCAGGTTTTGTCCTCTAAAGTAGGAGCTGGGCTTTCACAAGTTAGACATACCTTCTCACAATTATTCATTGAGGAAAGATATGCCTGTTGTATACTCAAAAAGGTATCAGATACTATGAGAAAACCTAAGCAACATAACTACAAAGGAGAGATGGGTATAAACATAGTTTGGTGAGATTGGCAAGATTATGTTCACATGGACAGCTCAGGAACAGGAATGGATAAGCAATACTGTGTACTGGATGGTAAGGAAAAATGCCTGAATGGAGAATGTGATTAAGGAAAGGGAGAGATAATTGAGTAGAGTCAGTGTCTGCAGGAATTTGAAGTTGGACGGAAGATGTGGTAGACAGAGTGGCTCAGGACAGTGGTGGTGCACAAGACTAGGGAACAGACCCAAGAGGACAAAGAGCACAGAATGAAAGGAGCAGGAAACAGGTGAATGGACAGTGAAGGCTTAGATGCCCCAGCTATRGAGAAGGAATATGGTTCCGAAGTTTGATCCCATAATGAGGGCCTTAGGGAAGCAAGGCGTCCGACACCAAATCCACAGTCACAGCAAGATGCCCATGACTTGTTTTGATGATGTAATATAGGAAGTTTCCAGGTGCACATTCCCACTATGCTTTTTCTGGTACTCAAATAAAAATACAAAGAACCTGTCCTCTTCCCTCAATTTCCAGGAAGTAATGCCAGCATTCGACTCTAGAAGACAACACAAAAACCTCATTATAAAGTGTTCTGTGATCTAGCCATTCAGTTTAGGATCACATGATCCATAGAAGCTACTTCTGTTCCCTCTTGTAACCTAAACTTCCCTCCAGAGATAGCCCCCATTTCCTAGGAGAAGGATAGAAACCTACTGACAAGCTTCTCTGTGAAGAAATCTCTCCTTCATAGGTGAAGGATTATCAATTCACTATTTTTCTCTGAAAATACAAATATCTTGAGGAAGATCAGACCTATTAGTAATTGAGGCCTTATTGTGAAGTACATGTCTAAGATATCAGGGCATGGGGATGAATAAAGATTTTTTTGCAGTATATTTTAAGAGCTCCAGGCCTGAGGGAGGTGTTAATATTGGAAAGGAACCAGGGAAGGCTACAGAGAGTTAGAACAGTATCCAAGACAACTGCCGCTACTTTATAGCTCCATCCAGGACCGGGCAGGTACCCTGTACTGCTGCCCTCGTTTGTATTGGGCACCAGTAATAACTGCCAGTCATGGTTACCATCCTTGTTATTTACCACTCAGGATGCTCTAACATTGTGCTTCGTGCCCTGAATCACCACCCTCCCTTAATCCAGAAGGAATTGCTACTCCATTCCTGATGAGGAAACTGTTGAAGGATTTTCTTCCGAAGTGTCAATGCAACCATCTTTTCTATAATGACAAAGTTTGGCTGCATGGACAGCTTTGTGGATGGGAACTTGCACTAGGATGCCACTGAGCTCCTCCTATCCTTCCCCAAGGCTCCAGCTCCTTATACACTCCTGCACTAAAGTAACCACACCCACATGCCTGGGGAATATGATCCAGGAACGAGAGGAGGAAAGCATACTTGTTTCGTGTATTATTTCACCACAGGAAGCCTGAATTAAATTCTGTCTAGTTTCTGGATCCTAAAAATGGAGACTTAGTAACACATTGCTTATCTTTACCAAAATCCCATTACAGAAAAACTGAAGCTTTACCKTGCCTATAGCAGCGAATTTCACCTGCATCATGTAGCCCTTTGTGCCACRGAAGGAGTAAGCAGCTGGGCCTCAGTTAAAACCACCTTGTCAGGAGACAGAGGCTACAGAGGGTGGAGAAGGCCCACCGCAGTCCTCAGAACCTCAGGTCTCAGACTGCACAGTAGTCATATCTGTCAGCTTCCTCCTCCTTTTCCTGATTTTGAGTGAAAATGGATTAACTTATTTCTGTTAAACGTTGAACCAAACTCTGAATCATGGTCCCAAGTATTGTAGAATCTCAATCAAAAAGAATTAGTATCACAAGGGAGCAACAGGTGGTCCATGGATGAGGATGCTCTTAAGCAGACACACACACAGTGCATGCAGTACCTTTGACAGCAAAATGACCTGGGGAAGGCACTAGAGACTCCTTGGGGAGAACAACAGGGAATAAAAACAAGGCTGAAAAACACCAATTAAATAAGATGTTTTCATGACTCCAACATGAGATTTCAAAGTTGTGATTTTAGAAATGAAAATACATACTTGTCATTTCATCCAAATTTCAAGAAACTTGATCTCCAAGACTTTTTAAGTCTATATTCAACAAAATTCAGGCAGGTTTATAAGACCCCAAGATGAATATCGAGTTAACTGTTGACCAAGCTGCATTAGCTTCCACCACAGGCACCCTGCAGCTCCTGGGGYGAGCATGCCAACCACCGCCCTCACTGAGTCTTCAACTGTGGGGGAGAGGTATGATGTGGTCACCACAAGCCTCGCAGGTGGAGGAGGTTGAAGAGGGATCAGCTTGATATGGGAAGGATTATAAGGACACGGATACAGCACCTAATACCAGAGCTTGACAGCTGATCCACTAGCTCCTTGCGAATAAAGTCTAACTGCGTCATAAGTGAACACCTGTGCTGAAGTACATTCCACCCAGCAAAAGAAGGTCACATCACTAGGACCTCAGAGATCCCCTTTGGGGCTTTTCTTGGTCCCGACGTCTATCTCCATAAATTAGTTTTTCTTGTTTTTGAATTTTTTTTTTTTTAAAGAGAGTGAGAGAGGAGAGAGAATTTTTATTATTTATTTTTTAGTTCTCGGCGGACACAACATCTTTGTTGGTATGTGGTGCTGAGGATCGAACCCGGGCTGCACGCATGCCAGACGAGCGCACTACCGCTTGAGCCACATCCCCAGCCCTTGTTTTTGAATTTCATATACATGCAACCCGACAGTAAACTTATGTACTTAGCTTCTTTTGCTCAGCATTGTTGATGAAATACATCCTCATGATGCAAATAGCAGTAATGTTTATTTCTGCTTAGTATTCTATGTATGACTATACCATAGTTTATCTACCCACCATACTCTTGGGTTAGGTATGTCTTTCAGTCAGTTATCTACCTAGGAACAGAAATGCAAGGGTCATAGGGTAGCCACGTTTTTCTTTAGCCATTTCCACAGTTGGGTAAACTGGTTGTATCAAGCCTCTGCTATCAGTGCCGAGAGATCCGTTTGTCTCAGTTGCTTGGTATTATTATAGCAATTCTGCTAGGTACACAAGGCTATTTGTGATGTGCATTTTCATTTTCCTTATACCTAATGAGGTTAAGCACCTATTCACCTATTTAGTGACTGTTTAGATATACTTTATTGTATACCTGTCCAAGATTCCTTCCTGCTCCCCATCCCTTTTATCCATTAGGTTTTGTATTTTTGTGAGCTTTTCCCCTACACACACACACACACACACACACACACACACACACACAACATTGACTTATAAGGCTTTCTTTAATACCTGACAAGGGACTCAGAACATAAAAGTACCACCTTTTTCCATTCTGTGGCTTGAGTTGTCACTATCTTAAAGATACCCCTTTTATTTACTGCCTGTTCTGTCCTATTTTGAGAAATCCTTGTCCATCTAAAAGACATGAGGATATTATCTTAAGTTTTCTTATAAGAGCTTTCTTGTTTTCATGATTCACTTTTAGATTTGGGAGAATGATGCGAGATGGAACATTCCCCACCCCCACGTAAAGGTCCAGTTTGGCCAGCACCGTTTATGGGAAGGATAACCCTCTTCTCCCTGCTACATGGCAGTCGAACCTTTTGATAACTCGGGGGCCCTGTATGCAGAGATTTGTTTCAGGAGTCTCTCCCGTTTCCCATTTGTCTGCTGTACTGTCCTTGCCTCAGCACCACACTGTTGAAATAACTGGATTCCTATCACATGCTGATCATGGTGGTAGGGCTCTTCCAGTGTTGCTGTCCTTCAAGGAAATGACCATGACGTGGCTGTTCCAAGTTAAACTATTAATAGAAGCAATAGCAAACCTATGAGTTACTATAAGCTCTRATTTTCTTTTTCTTTTGAAGAAATGACAAAAATAACAGTGGGAATTCAGCTTTGACCAACAGCATGCCCGGCACACCAAGACAGAATCCATGTGCCCCTGCGAGAAAGCCAGGACCTCTGCCCTCCAGCTTGGAYGACTTGAAGGTGAGGGTTCCAGGCAGACCCCACTCTTACGTAAGTGCCCAGAAAAYGGGAACAAATGGCCAGATTTGTCTGTCACATGTGCAGTTTTCAGTGGCCATTCAACCTTAGCAGCAAAATGATAAGCCTTATAGAGGTCTTTTCTCTCTACTTCCCTTGTGCATCTTTCAAGATGGACAATAGGAGCTCTTAATTACCTAGCATGTGCTTTGTACAAGCACCATAGAGAGACCACATTCACATAATTTKTATTGCAGTGTATTAACAATTGTTCCATATTTTTRATTATTGCTATGTCTTACTGTGCCCAATTTATAAATTAAACATCAGTATTTGTGTATAGGAAAAAACATCGCAAGTATAGGGTTCAGTRCTCACCACAGTCTCAGGTACTTATTCCCTATGGATAAGGGGGCCACTGTGTACTCTTGATCTGCCAGAAAGTTATAAAAACCAAGAGACCTGATTTGTCTGTACCTCCAGGTATCGGAACTGAAGACAGAACTAAAGTTGAGGGGTCTGCCGGTGTCGGGCACCAAACCGGACCTCATTGAGCGCCTGAAACCCTACCAGGAGGTCAACAGCAGTGGCCTTGCCTCTGGCAGTATCGTGGCAGTGTCATCATCGGCCATCATCACCAATAACCCAGAAGTCACTGTGGCATTGCCAGTCACAACCCCACAAAACGCTGTGACTAATTCAGTCTCTACTTTGAAGGCAGAAGTGCCGACTACTGCACCCACCAACACAGCCCATGCTGAAAATATTCATTCCCCTCTGCCAATCTCCCCCTCGCCCTCCGATCAGTCCAATTTGAGTACTGACGACACAAACATGACAGACACTTTCACCGAGATCATGACCATGATGTCTCCCTCACAGTTCTTATGCTCCTCTCCCTTGAGAGTGGCAAACCACGAWGACAGCCTGAGCCCCACCAGCAGCACCCTGTCAAACCTGGAACTGGATGCTGCCGAGAAGGATCGCAAGCTTCAGGAGAAGGAGAAGCAAATCGAAGAGCTGAAAAGGAAACTGGAACAAGAGCAGAAGCTTGTGGAGGTTCTGAAAATGCAACTTGAGGTGGAAAAACGAGGGCAGCAGCGGCCACCAGAACCCCAGCCTGGCACCCCTGCTCCCTCTGTCACAGCGGATCAGAAACATGGCGGCCCTGGTTCTTCCATCAAGGACGAGGCCTCACTCCCTGACTGCTCCAGCCCCCAGCAGCATATGCCTGTGGCCAGCCACTCTGTAGGCCAGCCCATCTCTACAGGTGGCCAAACCCTGGTTGCTAAAAAGGCTGTAGTCATCAAGCAAGAGGTCCCCATGGCGCAAGCAGAACAGCAGAGTGTGGTCTCGCAGTTTTATGTGAGTTCCCAGGGACAGCCTTCTGCCATTGTCGCTCAGCCCCAGGCTTTACTGACCACGCAGACTGCTCAGCTGCTGCTCCCGGTGTCTATCCAGGGTTCGAATGTCACCTCAGTGCAGCTGCCAGTAGGCAGCCTCAAACTCCAGGTGGGAAGCATGTCATGAATTTGCCTTACAGCACACCCAGAATGGAGACCAGTGACAGAACCCCCCCAAGTCCTTTCAGGAGTCACAGCTGTAGAACACATGTAGGTGAGGAGAACCATTCAAAAAAAAAAAAAAATAGCTAGGACCATTTTAAATGGTGAAAAACAGACACAGGTGCCTTTCTCTGACCTCTTCCCTTCAATGAATGCAGTATCATGTACAGATGCTTTTCACCCATTTTTGTCCCATCACCTTGTATATTTGTTCAATGTCCTATATGTAGGGCAGTTTATATATGTGAAAGTCAGGATAGTATCTCAGTGTCCTACTTATAGGACCACTTATCTTTATTCTTGATGAAAATAAGGATTTAGAGCTTATAAATCCTTTAATTTTATTTTAATTTAGACCTATTTTAATGTACCCATATCACAATTTCATCAAAATATTGGCAGATTTGAAAGTTTGGGACTTCATGGGTTCAAGGTCAGTGGCATTGTCATGAATGATAAGTGCTCCATGGCAGCAGCTTCCATACCCATCAGGTACTAAAGTGGCTTACTTCACTTAACCTTTCCTCCCCCAGAARAGCCACATGATGTAGCCCAATTCTAGATGGGGAAACTGAGGCCTAGAACAGTTGAGCTCAAGGACAAGGCTGATGTTTAAACCCAGATCTTCCAGACTCTAAACCTCTGCTTTTACTCCATTCTATTCTGCCTCCCAGACTTAATTCTTGTAAGGCACATATTAATGTGAAGGTGCCTCAACTAAGGAGGCCATGACCACAGATGGAGGAGTGTGGATATCATGAAAAGGGGATAAAACGCCCAAGGGTAGGTTTTGTGTTTACATAAACCACCTCAGGTAAACAGGCAGGTTTTGTATATGAAAGTTTAATAGGTTTTTCACAAAATGTGGGTCAGGAGTAAACAAGCCGTTTGGACCAGTACTTGATGACCCAAGTACTTCTAATAGCAGAGAGGAATACCCTTGTCCCCCTGTAGTTAGGGGGCGTGACCCAAAGGCCCTTGGCATGTGCACAAAGTCTGTCTCCCCATTCTGGCTCTTCAGCATCTATGCCATTGAAGATCTACTCCATAATATATCTTTTAAAGTTTTTTTGATCCAAATCTTCTATTAGAGTTGTTGTAGGAACAAAGACTTTTGTTCTGTGCCTTTGTATACCCTAGAGCATTGCAGGCCATCCCCAGGGAGTATCTGCTGCAGCTTTATAGAAGCAGGAATCTGGGCAGATGGGCCTCAGATTTCCTAGTTGCTATTAAATGTTTTTCAGTACCTGACCTATGAAATGTAGTATCTATGTATTACTATTTTCATTTTCTAATTTTCCCAGTTTTCAGATATCATTTCTTATGCGACTAAGAAATTTAAGGGCATGAAAATAACTGGTTTAGTGTTTGATACTGATTTAGAATTGTTAAGTTTCCAAGATGAAAGGTTGGTCAGTGGGTATTTGACTAAGTTTTGGTCAAATAGCAGCAAGAAGTTCTAACATGCTATTGTAGACGAGGGTGAGTGTATRTAACAGTTGTGTACCATATATTTCAAAAAGCCAAAAGAAAGGAGTTTGAATGTTTTCACTACAAAGAAATGATAGGCGATTGGGATGTAGCTTAGAAGTAGACCACTTTTCTAGCAAGCACAAGGCCCTGGGTTCCATCCTCAGCACCACAAGAACATTCTTTTTTTACTGTTTGACCAGATTTAAACATTACACAGTAGTATGTGCATTGGAACCTTACATGGGTAGCCTATTAATATGTCTAGGTTCTGTTTTATATGTAAGTTCAAAAAATTTCAAATGGATTATTAAGTTTCAGCTTTATGCAAATGAATTGGAGTGTGTACCTGTAAACATACTTATTCCATTTTAGATTTGATTTTCAGTTAATTTTACATCTAACGTCTTGAATCCAGCTCTGCTTCTGACAATTCACTGATTTTTCTTGACCTCCTAGACTCCACCACAAACAGGAATCCAGACTCAGCCTCAGACAGCAACTGCTACACAAATACCAGCTGCGGCCCTGCCCTCAGGCCTGGCCCCAACCGTACCTCAGAAACAGGAGGCTTTCCCGCAGCACGTGCTCAGCCAGCCCCAGCAAATCAGAAAGGTTGGTGGCTGATCCCAAAGGTCATCTCCTCATCTTCCCCACCTGCTCCTTGGGAAGCCCCACTGTTCTTTCTTATGGTCTTTCTGCCACAGAACATGCCCTGGGTCAGATGTTGTTTGGAATTGAGAGAGTTCTTTAGTACTAATAGCTTAACAATTAAATCCTTTCCCAAGTAAAAGGTTCAAAAGTATTTTTTTAATCCTTATACACTAGATTTAAAGAAATTTATTTTAAAACTCAGTAAAGTTAAATGTGCTATTCCCTGGGGAAAGATATGTGAAGATTGAAAGGATACTTCTGACTTCTCTCTCAAGTAAGATCTTTATGCTGTAGGTATTCAGAAACCAGAGGCTTTTACCATCACAGCCCCCACTGCTGGGTGCTTGGCTTCCTGCACAGTTTACTCACTTCCTCRTCTTCATATGAGGGTATTGGCCTAGGACTCATCCTGAATACAGATTCCTTCCCCAGACTCCGATCTTTATCATCCCTCAGTGGGCTGGGAAGGTAGCTTAGAGGTGGAGCACTTGGCTACCCTGTGCCAGGCTGGTGGGGTGGGCAGGGTGTGCACTAAGTAAACAACATTCCCTCTTGTCCAGTAGGTGGAGCTGTGTGCACATCTTCTTGCCAGAAAAATCCAAAGGCCCCCAAAACAGGTACCACTATCTTAAACTTTGAGAACCGAGTCCCAGGGTTTAGGCAGTTAGGTCTGCTATCAGTACGCCTTGAGGTAGTCCTAACTGCTGGACCCAAGACAATATGAAGGACAAAGATCAACGACCATTTTTAGCAGTAACAGTCATACTGACATGCTGTGGCTCAGGTCCCCTCGGAGACACAGCATTAACTGTCCACAGTTGTATGTCACTGAGCTTCAGAAAAGCTCAGTACCATTGTCGTATTGTTGTYATGAGCTCAGTAAGTGTTCACATGTTCAGACAGTTTTCTTTGGGTTAGGGAAGAAAGAGGAAAATAGACACAGAATGACAAGTTCATTCACCAAGTCTTAAAATACTAGAATTAGGRATCATCATTTCCAGCTTACAGGAAATCATGTTTTACCAAATGTAAGGAAATTCAGCTTTTTCCAGTAGGAGCATATTTATAGAGCTCTTCACTCAGAGGTTATATATGTGTATCCATCCAAAAAGTATAACTTTTGTGCTTAAGAAAATACTCATATGCTGGACATGGTGGTGCACACCTGTAATCTCAGCAGCTTGGGAGTCTTCAAGTTCAAAGCCAGCCTCAGCAATTTAGTGAGGGCCTAAGCAACTTAGCAAGRCCCTGTCTCTAAATTTTATTTTTTATAATTATATATGTATATATACACACATACATATATATATATACATATATACGTGTGTATATAACACACATGTATAAAATGGCTGAGGCTGTGGCTCGGTACCTCTGGGTTCAATTCCAAGTAAAAAAAAAAAAAAAAAAAAATACTCATGCACCAGGTGCAGTGGTATATGCCTGTGATCCCAGCAGCCTAGGGGGCTGAAGCAGGAAGATTGTGAGTTCAAAGTCAGCCTCGGCAACTCAGTGAGACCCTGTCTCTAAATATAATAAAAAAGAGGGAAGAGGGGTGCTGGGGATGTGACTTAGTAGTAAAGCACCCCTGGGTTCAATMCTTGGTATCCAAAAAAATAAATAAATAAAATACTCATTTGATAAAAATGGAGGTTTTTCCTCTTTCAGAACACTAAGAAAGTGTATTAAATATTTTTATGCATAAACCAAGTTGTATGAAATACAGTACTCTATCAGCAACATCCTCATGTATTTGTAAAAATATATAAATTTGTAAAAATCCTCAAAACGCCTGACTCTTCATATAACTAAACAAAATGTTCCTGTAATCCCAGCAATTTCCTTCCACAGGAGGAAATTCTCACCTCTAACAGAGCAGRAACAGCTTCTCAGAAGGGGGCAGATTTTAAAGGCAAGAGAGCCAGTGGGTGTGGTAGGGGCCGCATCAGTGTGTGCTTGGAGCAACGAGGAGGCTCCGCAGCTTCCCAGCTTGAGTAAGGACCTGGGCCAGGACGACAGGACAGAGGCCCAAGCCCAGAGGCATCACTAGATAGCAAGTGCTGAGCGGGGACGAGAGTGACCTGATACTACTCTTACCTAGGTGTAAGAAGGAAAATAGAACTGAAGCAGAGTAAAGAATTATTGCCGCTCAGAGGCTGGGCCAGTGAGAATACAGAGAAGAATTCATACTACTTTTGAGGTGTCCAGGAAGGTGATGTGGAAGAGGCCTTGGTGCTGATGGGTAAAGTTAAGAGACTAGAGAGGCTTGAGGATGATTAGCTCATCCTGACCCTGAAACCTGAGAGGAGATCACCTAATAAGGTGGTCAGAAATTCAGCTGTCACTTTAGAGGGAAGCCTGGAGAAAACCTCCCACAGGGCTGTCTGCACCAGCAAGTTGCTCAGGAGAAGTGTGTGTGCTCCAAAGGAAGGTCAGGCAGCCCCAGGCCAGGCAGATGCAGCCCACCTCCTGTTTCTATAGGTAGCATTTTGTTGGCTCACAGCCACTCCTGTTCTTTTCATGGTGTCCTTGCTGCTTTCCTGCTAGGATGGCAGAGGCGAGCACTTCCGAGAAGATACGTGGCCCACACGTCTTAACCTCAGGACTCTTCAGCCCTTTACAGAAGTTTGCTGACCCTGCTCTGAAACATGGCTTTTTTTTTTTAAATACTTCATTAGGAAAAGCAAAAGAACAAATTGAATGAGAAATAACTTATTCATTACAGGTTTTCACAAACTCGGCACCAAATACAGTTCTTCCATATCAGAGGCCACCGGCTCCAGGAGTCCAGCARCCCTTCATCAGTAAGGCCTCCAACTCTGTTCTTCAGGCCAGAAACCCTCCACTTTCATCCCTGCAAAACGGACCCAGCGCTCCCAGCAAGGTAACCCTGTAATGACCTCAGCCAACAGGGCTTGCCGACATTGGCAGCACTCCAGTTCCCCACCCTTTAGGCTGGGAATGACCACCTGTCAGTGTTGGTGGGGTGATGGCACCTTGTTAAGGAGGAGCCCTGCTGTGGTCACACAAGGTGGCCCACCAGAGACCTCAGCTGCCCAGGTCCTTAAAGAGCTGCTGCTAAAGATCTTTGATTGGCAAGAACTGCAGAGCGGAGTCTAGCCAGGGCAGGAGCAAGCTTGCTGCCAAGAGCTAATTCATGCTCCTCCTCTATTTGATACAGCCTAGCTCGCCCCCTCCACCCCAACAGTTTGTCATCCAGCACTCTCTGTTTGGGACCCCAGTCACCAAGGCAAAAGACCCACCCCGCTACGAAGAGGCCATCAAGCAGACACGCAGTGCACAGTCCCTTCCAGAGGTGAGTGTGGACAGTCACAGTTCATGAAACTGGTGTTTCATGAGCTCCCCCCACCCATCCTCAGCAGCCCCATACCAGATCCTTTGTCTGAGACCGATTTGCCTTAGTGAAACAAAGATTATAATCAGGAGCTTCATATTTTAACTGGTATCTAAAATCTCGATCTCATTATGAAGAATCCCAAACATTTCTGTAGAGAAATTACCTGTAGGTACTGCTTGTTCAGAATCCAGGGTTTGTCTAACTTTTCCTTTGCTACAGAGGGATCAGTTATGTTAGGGGCTCATGTACTCCATAGCAGGGCACATATTTTATTCAGCTTCCTCATTTCTAAAGCCACCTTACCCTGCATCATCTCTCCTAGTCTCTAGTACCCTCTGCCCCTCAGGGTACACTGTGGATTTGACAGACCTGCAGTTCTCCAGGCTTTGCAATACCTATGCCCACCAACATTGACCTCTGAGCCTTGTTTCATTGAAAAAACAGGAACAGTTGTAGCTGCCCCTGTGTATAAATCATCTGGCCTGTGGCGAAAGCCCAGACCTAGCAGCACTCGTCATCCCTTACCCTAAACACACCTCCGACTCTCCCCACCTCTCCAAAGCTCTTTCAAAGCTTAAAACTTACTTTCTAGAAAGGACCCCAGCCCCATAGAGCATATAAACCGGTCCCCCTCCACAAGGGGATGTGTCATCACACCGTAGTTGGCTGAACCTACCTTATAGCCAAAGTGAGCATCTATAGAAACTGGCAGATGACAGTGTGCAGTTGGGCACCCTCAKGGAGGGCACATGGATGCTCAGGCCTGTGGTGGACTGCCTGTCTGAGGAAACAGACAGTTGCCATATGCTTCTAGTATCCACTTAGTGCCAAGAGAAGACGGCCTCTCTAGTTGTAAAAACATTCCCTCAGTTCCAGACTCAACAAGGGACCCATGAGGAAAAACCCAAATTTCAGAAACAGGTTTAAACATTTAGAATGAAAATCGAAACAATTAAGAGTCACCTAGAAGTCAACTAGACTGTCCTCCCCCATGGTCCACTCAAAAGTAGCATGTATTCTTCATAGGGAGCAAAAATGAGTTGGCAAGTGCTCAACTAGTGTTTTTATGAAAATAGAAAGGTAGAACTGATCCTTCCAAACCTGGCTTTCATGTGTAGGCTTATTAGCACTGCCTCCTTGATTTACGTAACAAGAAAGGAGCAGCTTTCTCTTTAACCTAAGACAACTTGTTGGAACCCATGGGGTTTACGTGTCTCTGGGTTCATATTTACAGACCTAGGGAACGAGTTCTCCGTTTGTGAGTAGGAGTAACACTGTGTCTACAGTCCCTCTTTATGTGCCATTGAGCACCCAAACTCCAGAAATTCAGTGGGTTTTTTTTGTTTCTGAAGTACATTTACTCAGACATCCAGTGCCATGGGTGGCTCAACAAGGCTATCCTGGTTTAGTCTTCCCACAGGTAACAGCTGTAAATCCTGATCACGATACAAAAAGCAGCTACATGAAGGCATTGAAGACGAGTAGAAGCAGTCACGTTCCAGTGAGGGTCCACACTGGGAGAGAGAAGTCACATGGCAGGGGTTCCCTCCTCTTGCTCCAGGGTCATGCCAAGTGTCAGGGTCACTCTTAGAAAGTGACCTAGACACTCTGTGGTCTAGATACCAGAGGACAGGGTTGAGAGCAGCCAAAGGGAAACAGAAAGAGTCCCACCTTGTCTGCCTCTCTGGCAGACCCCTAAGCCACATAGGCATGGTAGACTCAGCAGCTCAGGTGAAGACAAATCTAAACCAAGATGGAACAGCTAGCTACCCCAGAGATGTTTCTCAGTCGAAGTCCAACCACATTAATAGCTTGCTAAACCAAAAGAACCTGCTCATCTTAGAGCCATGAGAACATCCACACCATCCACTTCTAACATGCAACATCAAGGTTGTGAGAACAGCCTGTCTTCAGAAGAGGCCATCAGCTGCTGAGGCGAGACCAACTCAGAGCAGATCTACATGTTGGAGTTTGCAAACAAGGGTTTAAAGGAGCCACCTCCTCAATGATGTGAAACAAAATATATTTATAATGAAGAGACAGGGGATCTAAACATATACAGATACAGAAATGATTTTTTAAAGGCTAAATGGAAATTCTGGAACTAAAATATCTGAAATGGAAAAAAAATCATAGATGAACTTCACAAAATGGAAATTCTGGCAGTTGGCGGGGCGGGGGGGCGGGGGAGAGTCAGTGAACTGGAAGACAGCTCAGTAGAACTTACCCAGTCTACTTACCAAGCCTCAGAGCCCTGTTATGTAACAATATGATGCAGATATAAGACAAGGAGAGAAGAGGAAGAATGAAACAGATGGATATTTGAAGTAATGTCAAAACTTCCAGAAATATAATGAAAGATAAATTTATAGCTTTGAGACACCCAATAAACACCAAATTGGGTAAATAGGAGACCTAGTCAAATTATCAAGAGCAAAAGTTAAAGAAAAAATAATGGAAGCATAAAGAAAAAAGCAACACATTACATATAGGGCAAAAAGTTGATTAATGTCAACTTTTCATAAAAAAAAGTATGGAAAGAAGAGTAAAATAACATTTTTGAAGTTCTAATTCATCAAAGATAGCATTGTCTTGATTTTATAACTTAAATATTTACAACTGATAAATGAGAGGAAATAAATGGATCTATACAGTTACRGTATTCCCTATTTTTTATGTATTSTTACAACATCAAGTAGACGTAAAGCTAAGAATATGTATTGTATATCTATAGGAGCAATTTTTTTTCATATAATGAAATGAAACTTTT